TGAAGACATACGGTGCAAGATCTTTTTCTGTAGCTGCCCCCACACTCTGGAACACTTTGCCGTCCCGATATCATGAACAGCTCCTCAGTGTCCGTTTTAAAAAACAAACTTAAAACTTTATATAAAGATCACAGTAATCATATTTTCATTAATAATTCAGGGTGATTTCGTTGTTTATGAATTTTACCCCGATTTCCCCCGAGACAGAAATCAAAACCCTCTCCGGGCTTTTCAGAATGATCATTAGAAAGGTTCATACACGTGATCGATTTGCCTCGTGTGATAGGCTAAGTTTTTGAATGGATCTGAAAGTACCGGAATCAACCGTTCTTTCGTACAAACAGTCATTTGGAAGTTTTAGAAACTCTTAACGGTGGCCAATTAATATTATCAATAACACAGTTGATAAACAAAATTATCTTGTAATAAAGTTTGGTTATATCAACTAAGTTGAAATTGTAAATTGGCCGCCATAGAGTTAACTGAAAGCTGACGTTTCGAGCGTTAGCCCTTCGTCATTCGCTCTGACGAAGGGCTAACGCTCGAAACGTCAGCTTTTTTACTCTTTACGATGGCCAATTTACATTTCAACTTAGTTGATATAACCAAATTACCTTGTTACCCTAACCGTCGCAGCACCACAGTTTCTTTAGAAACTTACCCCCATTTATTCATTTATCTTGTGATAAACCCCAACCGACGTAGCACCTCAGTTTCTGTAAAAACTAACTCCCTTTAAGAAATGTTTTAGCTCGCTTGTGAAAACACATAAGTACCTGCCCCTTTATTTACGTGGGTACTTCGTTATCGTCCAGCTGAGAAAAGTTTTATTTTTGCTTCCAGTGGAAACAGAAGTTGGTACGAGACATCATCAGTCAGTGATACATTGGCACCTGAAGGCAAAGAAGTAAGTACAACTCTTCTCAGAAAAAGACGTTGTTATCACGACTACTTGATGAGAGCGATTATGATGAGGGCTTCGTTTATTTAGCAGATAAAAGTATACACTTCGATGTAGTCTTTAAAACATGCCGGGTTGTCAGGAAGAAAGTGTGTAATATTTCTCTATTTCAGATTTTATCTCCTAACTTATTTTTCCCATGACTTTTGGTTTAATATATGATTTTGACTTCTCGTGACAGTTTTCCGATAAAAAGGGACGATGCTTTAGTTAAAGAATAAATAAACATACGAAAGAAAAATTAGCCATTCATGACATTATCGAAATTTTTTAGGAAAAGTAACTACGTTCTCCCACACATGTGCTAAAATAACACAGGTTTCAATTTCATACCACCAATTGAAGTAAAGAGGGAAAAACAGAGAGTATCATTGTTTTTTTGTTTTTTTTTTTTCCACAGCCTGTAGAGAATGTTGATCAAGAATTCTTCTTGGTAGTAATTTTTATTACTATCCTTTTGTCAGCCTTCCAGAGATGAAATATCCATATTCAAACTTCACGTCACATTATTTCAAATGAAGTAGAGAAACTGGATTGTTTTGGGATGAAAAAAAAAATCTCATGTTAGAAAATGTTCAAATCAGGTCTCTAAAACAGACAATAACTTAAAATGAAGAATAAATGTTGAAAATTACTTGTGTTCAACTTGAGTAAGAATAAAAAGCGTACATCAAATTTTTAATTTTGCAGATTCTGTAAGCCATAAAAATTCCTATGAGTTTATCATGTAGACCGAGCCATAGTAGGGATGATAATTCAAGGGTTAGATGTAAAAAAACATTATTGTTTCTCTTTTCTTTTTCAATTCTGTTATTAATATTTTTGATTGTCAGTGAGATTTGTATCGATTGATGTTATATCGTAAGTTACACCTGGTAATTTGTTTTTTAATTATTCTCACCTCAGTGAAGTCAACACACTGTGAACACGTTATTCCTTGATCAGCTGTTCAATGGCAGCGCAGTTCAGTATTATTCATTAATTATTATTCTTATAATTAATTATTAAACATTAAAGTAACTTATTTGAAGAAATTTATCGTAGATCTTTTATGTATTGTAACTAATGAATATAGCGTTGTAAGTAAAATACGATATGATCCAAAAATTGGAGACTTATTAATATTTGATACTTATTTTGAAACTTATTTGACTTATTTGATCTTATTAAGCGAACATTATGGACATTATTTGATAATATCCGAATTGTTTTGGTTGTAAGGTATAACAAACTATCCCGACAACTTATTTACACACTTAGAAAATGTTAAGCAAGTTGATTCTTCCTGCATGGTCGAAATCTAGTTTTAAAACACAGTTCAAATCGTATTCCCTCTTCATGAGCTCGTTTAAAACTTCATCAATCAAATCATGGAATGTCCAGAACAACGCCTAGCTCTCCTTCCGTGGGAATAACTTTGCGATTCCATGTCCACAGTTAGTTGTTTCTTAATAAATGGGATGTCCTCAACTTCTCGTTGGGAATCCCTCCTTTCGTTCTTGATATATAGACGCTTTTAGCTATTTTATTTTTCAGACGGAAGTGCATCATATATGAACCGACTTCTCTCATCGTTTAATAAGTAAGGTAATCACGGGATCATTAAGAAAATATCACACGATGAAGCTTTTCACGTGGGATGGAAAATACTCTGCACGCTTGTCTAGATAATTATCACTGGATGAAAATAAATCATCACGGATGATATCCTTTTCACGGCACAAAGAAATAATCATCACGCGACAAAAAAAGGACATCATCCACTTAGAATGATAATTCTTTGGCTCAAAACTTGACACCTTTCTGTGCAAAAAACGTAATCGCATTTATATGTACTCGAAAGTTTCTTTAATTTTCTATCTTTATTAAAAAAAAAACAACTAAGATTCTGTCGTTTGCTTTCGTTTGCATGAATTGCACACGTATCCTCCCGTCCGGTCTCACAACGTTCTAGGCATATGCCTGTCACACTATAAGAAGCCAATCAGAGTCGAATATTTTCGCCCCTCGTGCGCTCCGTTCGATGTCACGGAGGTGTCACGCTAAACGATCAGTGCCATGTGCTAAAGTCCTTCCAAGGCTTACGGTTGTTTAAAGCTCTCATTTAGTCTACGAAATTTCTTCAGGCATTCATTTCTCTGAGGAGGTAAGTTTTGAAGTTTTCTTTGGCCTCCAGGCTGTTCCTTTTAAAGTTAAATTTTCTGGAAGTAGATGTAGCGCGGGTGTTAGAGCATCCTTTCGAATTCATTTTTTGTTATAGTAGTATTTTCATTATTCTCTGTCGCACTGAGAGTTCAAGTCCTGATTTCTACGTTTTTCGCCAAACATCTTATTTCTTTTGAATGAGTGAAGTATTCAACAAGCCAACATATGCAGGGGATTAAAGCAACGCAACAGGTTGAACGCTTCGGCATTCTAAACTTTAGAATTTGTACGTGTACCTCACACTACACGCAGCGAAGAAATTTCCTCGTGTTCGTTAACTTGGGCAAAAGTTGTCTAAAATACAAAATATCCTTTTCTTTGTGTGGAGTTTTGGCCAAATTTCCGCACAATTCCATACTTTATTTTGCGGATAGATACCTGTTTATTAAGAAGACAATGGCCGAAACAATATGTTACTTTTTAGACTATGGCTTTGTTATCGTGTACCATCTAAACAAGTGTAAATTGAAAACTTTCTCTTAAAATTATTGGGAATTTAGAAAGAGTATTGAATTGGCTCAATTTCATTAATTTGATATTCAGCTTCAAATATACGGAAGGGAGTGAACCGCAGAAACTGGCTCTGAGGTCATTTGTTTTTACGATCAACTTTTCAGTAAATGAAATCAGGCCATTGAATCAAAAATTTTCCCTTGGACTTGAAAAAACATCCAGAGATTTTCTAAATCTGAGAAAGTACACAGTAAACATGCTGTATCAGAGACAGTACATGGGTGCACTTTTCATGGTTTCCACTCCTAAGATATAAATTTTAATTCTCGCATTCTGCTATACACTGCCTATAATTTCCCATCTGAGAATATGGTGTTGAATCAATTTTTTTCCAACCAGGTGATATTTTTTTGTTCTCATCACTTTTCTGCTTGATTATGTTGATACTGTTAGGAGAAATTCATTTGTGTTTACCTCAAAGGGGAAAAGGGTCCAATATAGCTTTCGGTATATTGCTGGAAGGAAGATTACGTCACCACACCTAATATGTAATGAGTTCTCATGTTTAACTAATTTTTACTAGTTCACTGTTAAATTCCCTTTTTTTCTAATCATGCTCACATGACTCAGCTTGACTTAACTCTAGAATGGCTTGTGATGTGAGTTCCCTTTCCGACCCAGCAATCAATTTTTGACAATTTACATCCTTATCCTTCTTTGATGTAGTGTATGGGTAAGACAGCTTTTGAGTTCAGAGTATCCAGTTACTCTGGATGAAGTGGGAGAAAATAGAATAGAATGAAGCAATGTGGTAGATTTCACCGACTTGGAAAACATCGTTCAATTGAAAATTGTTTTTGTCAGACCTTGAAAATACTAGAGGCCACAGAGCATTCCTTTATTTCACAATGGGAAGTAAATATTCTGTTTGGCTTGATTTCATCTATTTTATTTCATTTTGACCAATGCCTGTCATCCTCCTGTTTCATTTGCCAGACTTTCATCTGAGAGTGCCCCCTGATAGTGGTAGTCCATTCTATTTTCCTCCTTCCAATGTTTTATCATGAATACTGACATTCAAAATTTTGTCTTGCATTACTTAAGTATCTCCAGGGCGTGACACTAATTTTTCAACTTACTAGCCAAGTGGCTAGTGACATCTTAGATGTTATGACAATTTCAGTTTGTTTACCAGCCAAACTGGCTGGTGGAAATAGAAAACCACTAGCTGAAACTGAATTTCAACCAGTCTGCGGCCAGTGGGCTACCATTAGTGTTGAGCCGTGTATCTCTCTTTTAGAAATTTCCTCCCACAATCTCCTGCAGAGAGATTAGCAGAGTGCCCAATACTGAACCATGATGCAATGTATGGAACGTTTTCTCAGACTTGCATTTGGAGATAAACAGTTTGGAATAGGGGTTGTAAACTACTAAAAGGCATGAATAATTGTTGCCAAAACTCAGTTAGCCTCTCTGAAGTGTCTGACATCATGAAGGTGCAGTATTCTTCAGGTCTTTAAGATGCTAGCATTTATGGGAATTGTCTTCCATGTAAAAACCCCCTGTTTTGCTACGTAGGATCACTTTTTGTAAACCCTTGAAAATCATGGTTCATCCAAAGCCATTATACTTTTGTTATTTGAAAGGAGAAGTGCAGAGCTCAGTTTGAGAATGAGCACAGAAAACCTTTTATTTTCCCATGCTCTGGATTAGGATCTACATTTAAGAGAAAAAAGATGTTCTTTAAATAAACTTATAAGACAGTCCTGATACAGAAAGGCAATTATGAATTTATATGTGCACAGAGAATACAGAAGAGTGGCTATAGTATCTGCTGTAAATTTTGTACTGATCTTTTTTTCCTTGTAATAGAGGGATTTCATTCTTCTTTCTTGGAACAAGTTGGATTTGCACTATCAAATACAAATATAAAAAGGCTGTTATGAAAAGAAACAGGACTATGTCATAGTAGCAGAGAAGGGTAAGTTTGTACACTCCTGCCTCTTACCAGTACTACTAAAAATTTTACAAAAGAAAAAAATTGTTGACAATTTATTTGTGGTGCAACTGTTATCCCTGCATTCTGTTTTTTGTGTATGAGTATTTGCAATAATTGATAAGCATTTACATCTCATGAAATATGAAAGGTGTTGTATAAAATTGATCCCCACCAAATATGCCATCATTTACCTTTTGATGTATAAATGAAATTTTTTAACATCCCAGTAAATGTTGATCATGTCATGTGATCAGCCAGTTGAGAGTAGTCCTGAAGAGGACAATCATCACTTAAAGTGGCAGATGATCCGATATGAAGTTGTTTTTATCACCTGACTTTAATGATGACTTTCACCCAAGTTGCCAAATTAACAGTCTGCTATGGGATCTAAATATGAGACCAATTAGTTTGATTTGTGACTCTGAAGGAGGTTCAACACCTAACCACACTTTTGATTGTGAAATGAAAGAGGTCAAAATGTTGATGCATGTAGTGCAATTTGTATGTCTTGTATGAGCTAGGCAATCTCTAGTTGAAATATTTTCCTCTTCTTGAGTTCTGCCTCATCCCCTCCATGCTCCCATGACAGTTGCAGTGAAGTAATATTACACACTAGGAGGGGTATGAGGAGTACTGAAATCCTCTTCTGTGAATTTGAATATTTCTAAGGATTTTCTAACAAACTTTGTCCAAGATTGTGGACACTGGCAAATGTGAAGAAAGAGACCTGGTCCTGGGTAGCCACTCTTTGGGCCAAAATACTGGGGCCAAGAGGTGTTTTCCATGTTTGCTCCTCCTTTTTGAGCCACTTTTCTGCATGCTGGTTTGGAACCAAATAGAAGCTGCTAAAGTATGACCCTGATCATATACATAATAACAGTACAAGTAAATACTGTTTATTATGAAAAAGAAAACCTTCCAAGGATGTGATTTCTTTTGTTTCATTTGGAGTTCATTTACTGAAGGCAGTACAAAATAATTGGTGCCAACTCCATTTAACATCACAGAATCTCCCATGAAAATATTAGTAACATTAAGTGGCACACACTTCTGCATCTCTATGTCCTCCTCCACTTACTAAGCTTGATAAATGCATTCAGAGGAGAATTTCAGTTGTCTTTCTCTTCTCTCAGGACTGTGAAAGGTTTTGGTTTCTTTAATATGTTTTTCATCTCCTTGTGTGAGAGATGCTGTTTCAACTCAGTACTGATATAGGGGTAAATATCAATCCATGGTCTGTTGTCTTATACTTGAAAGTTGCTTTTGCTGCTTTAGGTGATAAGAAAAGTAAATAAATATCATATGTAGTCCACCCCAAAAAATCAATAAAAATTATTGGAAAAGCATATAAATGCATTGTTGTGCATTCGAATGGTGCTATTAACACAAACAATAAGATACCTTCATGATGGTATTTCTGTACTAATACCCTATTCACATTTAGGCGAAAACTTTTTAAAGCTGTTTTATTGTACATGTTTTAAAATCGTTTTCTTCATAAAAGTTGCTTCAGCAGATTTTTTGACCTCACATCCAGCACAATGTCAGTGATAACTGAAACAGTATGTAAAATTCAGTGTTCTGTTGGTGATTTTTATTGAGTGGAATCTGGTTTAACAAAGCGTGCTTGCCGGAGTTGAATGGCTTAGCATCTATGATGAATGACCTAACAGGTTATTTATTACAGATCACGTGTGTTGTTTGAGTGACACCTTTATTTAGACGTGGACCTTGAAAGGTTCTGATTGCCGTGCCATTCGTCAAACTTTTTATGCTCAGAGCACACAACTATTATTTGGTTTTTCTTTGACTTCACTGGTCAACTTATTTTAGGGTAATGACCTGTCCGAAGTTTCTTGTCTCCAACTCTTATTAAGTTATTCGTTTACCGTAAATGTAAACTTTTAGTTTAGTGAAAGTTCCTTTGTTATTAAGTAAGAGTTTTCGCATGAATGTTAACCCTAAACATAACATAACATAAAGGCGGCTATCCGGCGTTCTGTGTCCTTAATATTATTTTGATAGTCGTTAAAATATGTTCTTGTGACTTCGAGTGTCAGGACTGATTTGAAAACTGAAAATGCGCTTCAAACAAAGTCGGTTTTCGACGCCTGAGATGCGTTAAAATGCTCGAGTCATGCGGTGATTATGACAGTCTGTACCTTGTGGTAAACATGCCACTTTTGCGAGATTAGTCATTGTACATTGGTGAGTGGGAGTGACTAGTCTCATTAAATAAACGTTTATTTAGTAAAAATCTCTTTGAGGCTCGTAGCGTCCAATTCTTTAATTTTTTCTTGAATTTGTCTGATGATTTTTTTCTGTCCCAGGTATTGAAAGGAAGTTTCGCGGCAATTTTTTTTTTCTAGTTAGGAATAAAACATTAGTGAATATACGATTCGAAGTTTCGAGAAATCCTTCAGTAGTGATTCATAAAACCAAACGAATCATTAATATTAGTGAATTTGAGGTTTATTTGCGAAGATCCGAATGCATATTTCTTCAGCTGAAGTTCGCTAGCAATTATGTCAAATTGACAGTCATACGGTATTAAGGGTACTTTGTGTATCTTGTGAAACTTCACCGCTCTTATTTAAGCAGAATGTACCCTAGATAAGTATTGATTTCATTTGTTTCGGTCTAAAATAATTTATTCAATTTGTTGTTGGTTTATCATTTTATATGTAACCTTCAAAACTAAAAGAATTCTTTTGTGAGACTTACGACGGCGTAGCATTCAGCGGTTATGGGTGGAAAACCCTCAGTGTGCAACCAGTTATTTTGAAGCATTAACATTCAGTTTAATTCAGTTTGTTCTTCAAACGACTAACCGGCCGTAAGAATTATGACTTCACATCCGACATAAGTGAGAGTCAAAGACCTTTTTTTTAACTTTCATGACACGTGAAGAACTGACTCTCTTCAGGAGATCCTCATGTTTCACAGATACCATGACATACCTTTTCTTCTACATAGAAAATTGGCGCTGCGCCCTCGACCCAAATTAGAGAGGAAAGGTGCGGTTGAAAATCGAACATCATTCGCATTCCCTCGAAGTTATTTATTTCTTGATATTTTTATGCCGTTTACCCGTAATGTTTTGGTAAAAAATACTTGTTCTGTTCAAAAACATCACGTGACCGTGACAGCTGCTCAAGTCACATGATTGGCAGGTGGACGAAGTTAATATTTGCTTGATTCTGTTTTGCTACAACATTTTTCCCCGCGTAATATGTGCATGTTTTTAAAATTTTTTGCGGGTAAATTTGATTACCTATTCGTTCCACCGTTGTTAGATTTCAGATGTGTTCTATTCATTTTTTAATGTGTAACTTTAATTAATTAGACTGGAGAGTTTCGACCGTTGTCTCAATGTTGGAATCCAGTTTGCTAAACTCAGAGCGTGGGCGTTGATGGCAGTGTTTTCCATTTAATTTGACAGTTGAAATCATCAGAGTGAATGCAAATGTGCCGTATTTATTGGTCCAAAAGCTTGTGTCATCATAACATCATTCCAACGAGGTGTGTTTCATTCCCTAGTTACTCGATAATAAAAGCGGCGTGAAAGATTCTCGCTTTCGCCAAGCATGAATTCTTCTCAGGAATTTAATCCAAGTGGAATTTTCGAGTTTAACAAACCAGACAATCCTCTCTACTACAACGGTGTCAACATCAACAGCGCTCTTAAGCAAAGTTTGACCATTGGAACTTCCCCGTGCCGTACATCGTGCTTTCCGCAAAGTCGTGATTCACTCGAATCGAACGGAAGTGTTTACGAAGCTGTGTCGATCGGAGAGACCAGTTTTGGCGGGAGTTTTGGTCACGACGAAACGGATGGAAGCATTTTTGGCGGGAAGCCTCCTTCCTATGCGGCTGACGATGCCCAAGTGGTTCCTGATTTCAATGAAATTTTAGAAACAATTCATGTTGACTTGGATAAAAGTAATGCTCAATCCGTACAGTTTATCACCGACCATGAAGCTTCCACGGATGCTCGCGGTCCTCAATGTAGAAACTTTGACAGATCTCTTCTTAAAAGGAGGAACTCTGAGCGTGACGAATTAGAGATTTATTTTCCCTGCGTTCTAACGCCGATCCCCGTTGATCGTCTGTACAGCACTCTTGTTGACGATTCAACCGTATTTAAGTTTCCAACAACTTCAGATGAATTCTTACCCGAGCATAAAGACAGTGGTGGCTTGATAACTCGGGCACAAAATTTCAGTTATTCCATTCCCATGGCAGAAGGCGAAAATAGTTTAGAATCGTTTGGGAATTTTAACGTGTTCTCAAAACTCCACGGGAGTCATGAAGAGTTTGACTTATCTGCTAATACGTTTGAACTACCCGCGGAGACTTTCAGGGTAAAAAATCATCCTGATTCGTGTAATTTATTCGGGGGAAAAGATTACAATTCAATGAACGGAGATTTTTGTTACGACGGTATTGGATCACAACATTTGATTGAAAAGGATACACCGGTATCACTGTCCGTCACGACAGCAGAAAATAACTACAATCTTCAGAAGTCCTTAAATAACACTTTTTTGCCGAAGGCGGTAAATATTGAAGATGGAAATTACGTTTCGAAGGCTTCTATTCCGCTTTCAGGGTGTCTGACCTTTTATGGAACCTTACCATTTCAATTAAACTCTTCCACGCTCGTCGAAAACTTCGCCAAATTTCCGCCGACTGTGGCAGAGAATACAGCTCTTTCCCTTAGTCGCATTTCGTCGGAAGAAAACTTTACAAACAGTTCTTTTGATCACAACCCTGCAAAAGAACTTCCCTCGAAAAAGCAGGTAGAAGTTAAAAGTAGCGATGAAGCTTCTCAACTCAGTCTAGCGGAGAATTTAAATTTTAGCGATGGAGTATTTTCGGAACAGGATTCCAGTCTGTACAGCTTGCAAAATCAGATATGGAAGAGCACCCCGAGAAGAGAACGAGAACTGGAGCGTAATCCAAGGAATAGAAACGCTGAAATGAAGACAACGGCTTCTCCAGAAACTGCAAGCTCGGCGTTTTTTATACAGAATAGTGGAAGACTGAAGGACAGCCGCAGATCAAAGCGTACCAAGAAAAAGGGCAATCTTCAGGGAGAAACACGCGACTTTCACAACGATATGGAAAAACAGAGGAGAACCAACATGAAAACACGCTTTCAGAATCTTCGCCTTACCTTGCCAGAGCTGATAGACAACGACAAAGCTTCAAAAATTGTCATATTGCAGAAGGCATTCAAGTACATTATCCTGTTAGAACAGGAATCGATAGAGCTTGAAAACAGAAAAAAATCTGAAAGGCAAAGAAATATAGATCTTTTAGATAAGCTACAAAAAATAACTTCAGGAAATTAGTTGACAAAAAATTGTGCGAGAAGAATTTTATTTATCGTTCGACTCTACTTCCGTTGTATTTTAATGCAAACTTAAAAACATTGGGCAGTTTGATTGGTACTAAAACTTTTGTCATTTCCCTCGCCATTTCGCTTGGAAATTGCCGTTAACCTACGTAAGTCATTTATTAGTGACTACCTTTTAACAAGATTTCCGCTTCGCGGAGGTGTTGCTTCTCTGATTTCCTTTTTTCTTCTTGTTTTAATGTACAATCATTAAACTAAGTGTCATCGGTTATGAATTTCTTCTCATGTTAGTAATATAGCGTCAAGTACATCAGTGTGACAAAGTAGAAAGTTACTCTCAAAGGAAGCTGTGTGATTTAGCTCCCAATTCTCCTAACTGCCATTACAAGGATACGTATCATGATGGCTTGGGAGAAGTTCCGTCTTGTGGTGATGTCCATGGTCTTTAAGTCTGACAGTAATCATTTTGTATTTTTTCCTATAACTTAAAGCTTTTGCTTGTCGTTGGAAGTTGTGTTGCTAAGGCCTACTCGACTGAAATAGTGAATTAGAAAAAGGGAAGTAAAATCTGTTTAGGCAAAAAAAGTAGTGGTTATTTTTCACCTGTCGTGTTGATCCCCTGGCGAGTACCAAGGCTGTGTTGTTTTCATTTCCCTCGATTTGTAAAAATATTATTATTGTTGCATGGTATCATTTAACCGAACTTTCATAGTATCATTTGAGCGAACTGTTCGACTATTCTTAATTTTTGGAAAGTAATGTTATTGTTCGATTTGTATCCCTTGCAAGACATGCAACCTCTGATCCTTTCACGCTCATTTCGTGCAAAAATTGTCCCGCTAAGATCATGTTATTTAACTAATGTGAAGTCTACCAGAATCTAAAGGTTGTCGGAAGATGCCATTATTTTGTTTGTGCGCTTCAAAATAAAAGCTCTGGCACTAACAAAGCCCCTTTCACTAGTTCGATCGGCCCCTTTGACAATCTCTCTGGTGGACCGGAGGTGGACATTCTCTCTTCATAGACATATAATTACTTGAAATCATTTCACAGATATTTCACCCTTTCACTCCCATAGTAACGGATATAAATTCTCCGTAATTCTTGCCATACTCTCTCTAGGACTTAAGTAACGAGAATGAGTTTTTTTTTAATCAAGTAATATCTCCTAGTTGATATGTTTCTTATTTTGAATCACCTTTCTGCTTGAAAATGAACTGACATTGGCAGCTAGAAATCCTTCGGAACATCTGCTCCTCTGTTCTCGCTGTAAACACTCCTGTGCATGTCGTGTTGTCAAATTATTTTTCAATATTTCCTTCGCGATGAAACAACCTCACACTCGTTAGAAGTATATTTACATTTCATTTTAAAATTACAGAGTGAAACAAAAAGGTACAATTTTAAACATTCTCACTGAGCAGCCCTAAATGTCTAAAACATGATCACAACTAGCATTTTCTTTATTCTGACGTAAAGAACTAGTGAAGAGTTTTAAGTTGTGGTTATAACGTTGCAGCTTTGTGAACTCTCTTCACAAAGCATACGTCTCCACGACTCAAGAAAATGTGTAACTCTTTCCAAATTGTGCATTTTTGTCATTTTAGTCCTGCATTGACCGAGGGAACGAAACAAAACTACGAAAAATATTTACAGTCGTATTTTTGAACAAAAGAAGTGGATAAATTTTCTTAACCATCAAATGAAATATTTACATCGTCAAGTTAGCGCTTATCTCACGTTTGGATGTCAAAAGCAAACCCCCACGCATAGGTCAATTAATTGATGCCAGGTTACCAGGAAACCTCGCTGTTTTCCGCCTTGTTTCTATTAGAGCTTAATCAACCATGAAAAGCACGCTTTTGGCAGGTCTGTAGGCATTTATATCTCTTCTAGCGCCGGATAAGGATGAGATGTCTGTTAGGACAAAGTAACACCAGACAGCAAATGATGTTAGCCTGGGTTCCGAGCATAATCAAGTGAATTAAGTGAAATCAAGTTTAATTTTTCTCCTGACTCGTAAACCTACGTTGGTGGTTTTGATTGAGGCGATGCACCAATTTCCATAACTGACCAGATTTGTAACGTTGTGTGCCTTTAAAAGCACACACAACCCACAATTCCTCTATTCGCTTCGACGAAGGGCTAACGCTCGAAACGTCAGCTTTTGTAATCGTTACGGTGGCCAATTTACCATTTCAACTTTGTTTACATGTCCAAATTATTTCGTTACTCCCACCGACGCAGCCCCAAACAGTTTCTTTCGAAACTATCAGCCTTTATTCATTTGTAACGGCTCAGTTTTATGTTTTCACATAAAGACGTGTACGTTGTATAGGAATCCTTTAACAGAAATGTTAACCCGGCGGCAAGCTTAATTAGAACATAAAATAGCTCTGAAGATACCTTTGTGATATTCATCTAAAATAAGTATTTGCGATTTTAATTGAAGACCTCTCCAGGCGCAGTTTTTAGTTCTACGTCCTGGGAAAATTCCTAGTTATTGTTAAAGTATTTGTTTATTAACTGGTGCATGTTAGCGAAATATAATTTTCTTCTGGCGGAGTTAACTGTCGTCCAGTTTCGAGATACGATACCCCTCCCTTTTCAGCCTTACTTGTGGCGCTACAAGTTCTAGCAAAACATTTCCTACCAAATTTGATGAGAGAATCAGTTAAGGTGTCCTTGTAGCCGATAGTAACAGGGCTCTTTATCATTGTTATTAAAATCGATGTTTCCCTGTAGGGAGTGCAGTGTCTGCCTTAGTGAAACATCAGTGAGGACGCGAGAGGGAGCTGAATGTTCCGTAACTTCTTTAGGTTTTTTTTTAAACTACCTTATGCCCTCTACGTTTTTGCCCTCTTGCCTCAATATCTTGAAGTTGAACATCCCTTTTATTGCTTTCAACTAGTACCCATTCCTTTAATTTTTCTCTTCATCCACGATCCCATGTATTTTTTCTCTATTATTCCGTAATCCTTGAGCCATAATGGGGTACGCAGCCTTGACAGATGAATTTTCAATCCGTGTTGTAACATTTGGGGTAAAACAATGGCTACTTTTTTTGTTTCGTTTTACCAACAACTGGTAACAGTTCGGTTTACTTAAAATTTACTTTCGATTCAGAAAAGTGTGAAATATGATCGCATGAGCCATTTTTGTCATTTCCATATAGCATGACTTGGTCTGTATGCCTGAGATGCTTTCTGCTCGCTGCAATGGTATATTCCATGCGGTCTAAACCAAGCAAGGGAAGGTCTTTAAAACCGTTGTGCATTTAAATGTATGTGGAAGCGGGTGCCCTTTGTTCAATACTTTGACGTGTATTGTGTTATTAATCTGCGATTTATGAGCCATCAGAGGGTTTTCACTGCTTTGTAACATAGGTAGACCCATATGGCGCATAAGAATAGAAAATGAAAACGACAAGTCGTGTGATGTCAAAGTTACTCAAACGTGACGGAATTTACTTTTTATAATAAAGGGAAAAAAAATTCAATGCGCCAGACTAGTGATCTAATCGTGGAAAGTGTTTCACTTGGGGAATCCAATAATGAAGTTAGTGAACTGACAAGAATGCATTATCAGATCGAGCCTTTTTTTTTTTTTTTTTTAGCAAGAGGAAAATTGGTGTAACAGAAGGGTTTGATGCCAATTGCGATGACCGATCTCAGAACAGTGTCATTGAACTCAATAACCAAATTATCACTCAGAGCAACTCAAATTTAAGCAAATATTGATGGAGAGTCAGAACCCCCTTCTCGCTTAGATTACATCTGAATTAATTCCAGTCAGACAAATTTATTAGTTCTCATTTCGCCTTCAACTTCAGTGTCATATTTTTCATAAATTTCTATTTTTCACAATGTTACTTTTCATGAAATCAGAGTAATCAGTGAGTGTTTATTTTGTGGCTTTGACCGGTAAGATTTTGTAGTGGGTGGGAATTACATCATATTTTGTCTATTTCACACTCTTATGTGGGGTACCCGTGGTAACTGGAACTGACTTGCCAAGGGTATTGAAAACCATCGAATTAATCAGCCAACTGTTCTGAAGACAATTATTTGTGACTTTCATCATGCTTTTTTTGCAAGTACAAATGCAGATTGAAGGATATTGACCCGCAAGGTCCGTTCTTCTGAAAATAATTTACATTTGTCTGATTCAAAATCACCTGCATTTTCTGACAGTGTCATGAAATTTTGGTGAGAAGTATGAATTTTGGTAATGAATTGAGCTTAAGAAGATAAGAAGTTTATACTTGTGTAAAAAGTTGTTAATTTGATACAGAGTGCGCGTGTCACGTCTAGGATCAATTCAGTTGGAGCTGACGAGCCTGCATATTAGCCGCTACCAACACCTGTGAGGTTGGCTGTCTTCACATTTTCAACCTTTTATGTCCGATATAAATACATCTAAACTAACGGGGCCGATATCAATCCACATCTACCATCAAGGCGGCGATATTGGATCACTAAGTGACAAGAAATGCCTGCCAAATCCTTGAATTCCTTTACCATAGAATGCGCTTTAGTTTTTTCAAAGATTATCCTCATTGTCTTTTTGTGTGTTCTTTATGGGTCCACTGCAGGTGACCAGACTAATATCCTTTCGCCACCTGTGTCTCCCACCTCTTCACCAACAAAAGAAACACGATTTGTGGAAAAGTGTGTGTGAAGGATTGGAGCAGTCAGGAGCGATCAGCCTCCAATCGGATAATTTGGAATTCGATCAAACAGAAACACCGTGACGATGACTTCTAATTGTGTCACTTTATTTTGGAAAGTCTGTTTTATGAAAGGTCTCTGTTATGATGGAATAAGGGTATTACTAGCCGCTTCTTGTTTTGCTGATTCTGTTTTGATAGCACTCGTAGCTGGTTGACTACAAGCGATGAACCGAGCGCCTGTGACGTTCAGGAAGGCCAATTCAGCCTGACGGGTCACTCTATAAACACGCGTTTGTCAAGTGTTAAGAATTGTAATTAAACTCCGGTCAACGGCGACGTTAACGCCAACAAAGGAACTGGTGCCACCTTCATTATGCAACATAAAGCGTGCCCTTTCTAAATGCTCGCCGTTCCCTCGTGTTTTGATTGGAAATCGTTGCCACCAGTTAAGGGAATCTCGAGTTTCAGCCGTCTTGAAAAAGTTAGGTTTTGACCAGTGAAGCAATTTTTGCGCTTTACATGGCAGCATAGTTTAATCTGTTTCTTTGCAAGGCGTTAAAACTGCACAGAATTAGTGCCTGTGTGTCGGAACGTGCACTGTCATTTAAGGTTCATTTAAATGGCTTTGTGACCAGGTGGGTTGGCCAGTGGAGGTTTATTTGAATTTGTATTGTTTAGTTATGGGTCTTTTAAATACACGTGCGTCCGTTAAATCCTCATTCATTTGCACACACCGTGCATCGGGTTGAGAACACTCGAATGCATCCTCTTATTCCAAGCCGCACGATGATGAATCGTTCTCCCCAACTCGATCTTTCACCTTGTTCTTCGCCACTTGTCTCGTTTAAAGGCAGTTTTGAATTCCCAGCCACGCCAGACCTTTGGCCCTCATTTTCGTTCCCCACGCCACCGACTTCGCCTGTGGAATGCTGCAGCAACTGTCAAGAGGTAACGAAAGAAATGCGCTGGCACGCCGCCACGGGTCCGTGGGGAGAACTGAGGAAAATCTCGGACGAAGAACTCGAAGTAGACGATGTCCCATTCGAAACTGCGCGGGAATTGTGCGGACTGCGCGCCGAATCTCCCGCCATTCTCAATGACATAATGTGGAGCGGAGATCGAGTCAGGAGGCCAGATTCCACCACCGATTTCGAAGCTCGATTTAGTTTGTCGTCAACTCCGACATGCTTCGATCAGCCGATTAGCCACACTTTTGTGGAGCCGGAGGAGCTGTTTTCCTTCTCATCGCTAAGCCACTGTAGTGATCAGGACCTAGATATGTTGGACAGACTCGCAAATGGTGAAGCGGCCTTCGATATTCCATCAGAGGACCTATCATCCGAAACAGGTATATAAAATATTTTCACCATCATCATTTTTTCCTCATGTACTTTAAACACATGAACAAAGATTAAAAATGTGAGCTAAAGTAAAACTGGAGACAGCATGTTGCTCGAAAACGTGAAATGTCTCTTCGCCAATTTATTGTGATTATTTTTGCCTGTTTGCTTTGTTCTGTTATATTGACTTTTTAGTCTATTATGTCACGTGCCCAGTAGAGTTTTAATTTCCATTATTTTGATTACCTTTTCTTAACTATACATGGTAACCACTAATCCGCGTTTGTTTAGAACAATAAAATGAACATAAAGACAATTGCTCAGATTACACAAAAATAATCAGCTACTCTTTAATTCAAAATAGAAGGTTAAACCATTGACCCGCGAACTCAGGAAAGTTGTTTGTTTTTACTTTGTCTCTGAAAAAATTTAATCGACCCCTGTCTTTCGACAGCAGTGTTTTTAACTGAGCTGTGTTCTTAACAATGAAACAAATACTTTTGGCTAAAGAGCGTCGTTTAAGTTGTCTAATATAATTTCTAAGAATCACTTAAGACGCTGCTTCACTCGAAGTATGTTTTTCGCTGTTTCCACAGAAACTGTTTTCTGATCATGATAAAGGAATCACGAATTCGTCTCAATTTTGTTTTAAGGGTGATCTTAAACGACTTGAAAATTACACTATTTATTTTGTTCAAGAGAACTCTCAGTCTTTCTTGACACTCGTGGTCCAATTTTTTGTTGCGTAGCAAAAAAAAACCAATAGTAAAATTAGTAAGTGTTGAATAGAAACGTTGTCACCAGGGGATTAGGCTTATTCTCTAATGTACGTACTCGTATTTAAACTTGTACACCACTGTTGAATACAGTCCTGTCTAAAATTTTGGTGTGTTACAATCATTTTGAGATCGGGTAATCCGTTCTAAGAAAAGACATATAAACGAATTAAACCAAATATCAAAAATCTTTTCGTCTTTTCACTGGTGGGACACCAAATGTTGTCAACAAAAGATTGAAAAGTACACAAATCTAACCACGAGACTTCAGTTTAACGGTCTTGCCCCTAATCTGATTTTTGTTTTTCTCTTTACCATATTTACGTGGGTATTTATTTCATTTTTTCCCAACTGTCGTTCTCCTTTTATGATACAGAGGAGGACGAAATCGACGTTGTAAGTGTCACTGTAGACAAAACAGAGGAAAAGGCCGCCGCCACCACCTGTCAAAGCTCAGACACCACCGGGCAGGAAGACAGACCGATGAATACCCCAGCAAGACAGCGCTGGTCAAGAAGAAAAAACCAAGAATCATCTGAGCTGGGAAACGAAGATGGAAATGGACGTATTTCACACAATGATTTGGAACGAAAGCGACGCAACGATCTACGGAATCGTTTCCAGTGCCTTCGCAAAAGCATCCCATCGTTACAGGAGAGCGAACGCGCAGCTAAGATAACAATTTTAAGGAGAGCAGCGGAACTTATTCCTTTACTCCAAAAGGAGGAGGAGAAATTACTGGCGCTTAAAGGGGAAGAAAAGAAACGAAATGCTGCCCTTTTGAACACTCTCATGAAACTTACAAAAAAACAAGAGAAGATGAACGCAACTTTCGTGCAATTTCAAGAGTGATTCTGAAAAAGAGTGAAGTATTTTATTTTACCTTCAAAAGACAAAGAACTTAGTTCCGTGGGGCATTTTAGTGTGGTTCTTGTATTTCTACTTTTCCGTTCACACTTCACTTATACATAGATCTTCCTACTTTAAACACTCTTCTAAACCGTGTTTATTTTGAAATGGATTTTTTGTATACACATGAATACTTTTTACTGTTGGTGATTTTTTTACCTAGTGCAGAATGTTTAGTCAGCATTGTTCACGGAGTCATGTTGTACTATGATTGATTCAAGTTATCAATTTAAAACGTACGGGAAGCACTAAGATCTAATGAGAGGTAATTAACAAAAGTTCTCTATTCAATGACCTAATGTTTGTAAGAAACTTAAAAAAATCTGTACCGGCTCAGGTTGTAGAAGCACACAAGAATGAAATAACAAAAAATAAAACCAAGCAAACAAACAAACAAACTATAAAAAAGAGCGAAACGATGATAACAACTGTAGTACCGAGGGGGCTTAACTGTGAAGAGCAGCTAAAGCGCTCTTCAAGACACTTCCCAAATATTTCTTTGTGAATTATACGTAATCGCGTATATCGACCTGTGGTATTGTGGATTCTCAGTTGTAACTCGGTTGGTTGATGGCAGCCTCGTCCCACTTTTGATCTGATCTTTACTTTAGCCTGAACGCAGTGTTTACTCCATCTATTTTGTTGTTAGCATGGTTGTCTTAATGGTGGTACAGTAACAAATTTTATTGTTTTTGCTGCTATATCTCGCAACTGGGACGTCGAATGAAACAATTAAAAGTTGCCTTAGTGGGCGCGACATATCATAGCCAAAGCCCTGATGAAACCTTTCTGTTTCCTGTTCATCTCAATACAATTTAAACCATCGCCATAAGGTTTCCATGGATACACCATTTTTCACAAAATGCTGCTCAGACCACGTTCCATCTGCCTACTTACAAAAAAGAAAAACTTTCTCGTCGCACAGGCACACCAAGTTGGTGACGGAAAGTCAACTAGAGCAATTTGTGCAAAAATTCAAAATTCTGCGAGTTCAGAGTTACGTTCAAATGGTATGAAATGTTCAAAATTCAAGCTAATTACCCATGTTTATCGAATTTATGAGAAGATTAGAGAGATTTGCGCAGCATAGGTTTTGGAAAATTTTTCCTCAGGCACATTTGATATTATAGCTAAGTTAAATTTTCAATAACTTGTCTAAGATTATTTTTCAATTTTCTCAACAAAGGTGAATTCGTGTTCAATGATCGAACGTCGTTCATTCGGACGGCTGATTCAGAATTTTTACGACTTCTATGCAATGGCGTGAGCGATCTTATCCAAAGCAATGTTTACATCTTGTTTTACCTATCCCAGTTTTAATTTACCATATACCCTACTTGTTAGTTGGAGTGTGATCACATCCAACTGATGTGTTTTTTTCTTTTTTGCTTTAAATTTGTCAAAACACATCACAGAAACGTTACACTTTAAAAAGGACTCTAGACGTCCATGCAGTCAGAAGCTATATGTAGACATTGACATGTTTACTAACTCATAAATACACCGTTTTGGTGAAAAAAATACGCCCTTAAACGATCGTACAAAAACAATATGATAACTGTAAAGCAGCACGAACTTCTCTCCTTTTCGAGTTAAATGTTGATATAACGAAGTCTAAAGTTAAGTCATACGAACATTTAATCAGAGAATTTCACGACTCTTCCGCTTTCTTTTGATTCCATCGTGAAAACATACTAGAATAGGCATGAAATTGCATTTGATTCACCCGCCTAGGCTTGGAATGCGTAATTTCTGTAAACCATAAAATAACGCCTAAAAGTCTGCAATTTGATAGTAAGATCGCGCAGAAGAAACGATCCGTGCATAGGGAAGCATACCGCCTTAATACTTATTTTCACATTGCTATTTTCAAAACTGACGTATTCTTTGAACGACTGATGGATTGAGACAAAGATTCTTAGGGATTTAGCAAATCAATAAAGGGGCCTGCCAAAATCCTTCACTGAGTTTTAGGTTTAATTCAGATTTGCAAGTAAGCCAGTTCCGATTTGTCCGAGATATTTAATGGTAGAATTTCATTTGGTTGGTAACAATGGTCACGGTTTGGATATGGTACTTTTAATGCGTGTAGATCGTAGAACGTATAAAGAGGAAATTTTTACCGAGAAATTCATTAGTTCAGTGTTCAGCTTCCCAAACGGTCATCACTGGCACGTCGTCCTTTAAAAACAACTTTTTGTACTACGTCACCCGAGGTTTAACAAAGTGTGTCCGACTTTCATTAGTGTCAGGTCTGAATTCCGTACGTAGTTTTAGCAAAGAAAGAGAAACTGTGGAGTCAGTTCAAGTATTTACAGTTCTCACAAAAGAAAAGAAAATCTTCTCAGGTTCCTCTCCAGAGTCATGTGGCGTTTGTTTTGTTATCAACCCTGTGACGTCATACGCACGTGCCTCACACACCAGTGTGGTGCTTCCCGTGCAAACCTTTCGTCTGAAGTTGTTTTTCATTTCAGTTGTCACGTTTTATTAATTATGTATCAGAGCCTTCAATCTTTCTACCTTTTGGTGCTGGTACCCGTTATGCAAATTTTGAGCAGATTAACAAGTTTCGTACTAATTGGTCTTCTGTGCTTCACGAAGAAATTGTTTGTAGTGCTTTCTTTAAATATTAACATGTCGTGATTTTCCGTTTGGCGCATTCTGAACGGGTTGTTTTTGGCGTGTTCGAGTGAAAATAAAATTGCTGTCGTTGTTGATCATTTCCTGTTTTTTTGTTGCTCTCATAATATCTTCTTGAAATAAACTGTTTATGAAACTCTTTCAATAGGTATAATTCCATGTTTGTTGTTGTTCAGTAGCTAAACAAGGCAAAACAAAATAAACTTAATTTATGATTTCCAAAGCACCGTGTTGTGAAAAAGGAAAGAGAGTGAGGACATTAATTGTGAGTGAAGTGCAAAATAAATTTTACGTAGTTTCCCAGTTTTACCAAGCCGTAATGGAATTACAATAAGACGTGAGTATAAACAATGTGACCAAAGCTGAGGCAACAAATGTGAAGGAGATAGCATTGTTTTTGCTGGCAAAATAAAAGTGGGAAGCTAAAAGTACAATACATATGTTTCGGTTCATCCTCTGTCTCAAGCTTCAAGAAGTTGTGACGAATATTTTAACGTCAGCTGACAAAATTATTCTAAATTATTTTGTGAGCTCCATTAATGCCCTTGTTCTTGTCAAAAATTTTTTTGAGTCAGTTTCGACCTCAAAGACCCCTGTTTCTCTTCACTCATGTTCTTAACCTCGCCAAAAATTGTTTTAAAAAATGTTTTATAACTGTCACTTTGTAAACGGCCAAAGGAGTCCTTTTATTTTTCTCAAGGATAACAATTTACAATGAGATGAGAATACCTTTTTTTCTTTTTATCAAAGGATTTGAAATCCAGTAATTCATAATTCTGATCTATGTATTTTCCTGTGTTTTAACATTTGCGCTTCAATAATATGCTACATCTGGCCGAAATAAGGCTAAAAATGGCAATGTGTACCCACGGTTGTTGTCATTTTGTTAATTCACTTTAATATCGAATTCAGTTGTTTTTTGTGTTTGTTTTTTAACAGTTTTCAATTAAATGTTGAAAGCAATCTTGGAATGCGTTAGTTTTCCTTCACTACGCCCAGTGATTGATGAAGAATTACTACTTCGCACGCTCAACCAGTCAAATGCAAACCTCAAAAAAATAGCGACACGGTTCATTCGCGATTTCTTGACGCTTGAAGCCGGTCATCACTCATTAATTTGATTTCTTGTCTTCTTTGGAGTTTTTCCTTTTTGTGGCTGGCTGCTGTGATTTCTCTGAGTTTGGTTTTCGACACTGCATCGAAAAGTTTTCTCAGGTGTTTCTCGAACTTAAGGAATATGTACTTTGTTGTCTAATGTCTCTCTTGAACTTTGAAGGCGAAAGGTCCGCTCGACTGTACTGGTTGGTGAATAGACGCCATTTTTTTCCTGATAGAGAGTTCTGGTTTTCCCACATGACGAGGTTACCCTGAGACTCAGTTTTCAGGTTTATGTATTTATATTCCTCAGTTACCTTTGTACTGAACCCTGCAGCGTGACAGGAGCTAAAGTTGAGACTCTTACTTCGAGCTGCACGCACATTTCCGTCTGTAAGTCGTTAATACAAATGGGTGGTTGAAAATGGTACAGAAAGGAACGTACCACACTGCCACCTTTGGGAGTGGTTGTTGTTGAGTTTTAGTAATGAAAATTAATGAAGGAAGCGGGAGTGCTGCGATTGGGCAAACTTTCATTCTCCATGAAGTTAATGGTACAGAAAGGAACGTACCACACTGCTATCTTTGGGAGTGGCTGTTGTTGAGTTTGAGCAATGAAAATTAATGAAGGAAGCGGGAGTGGTGCGATTGGGCAAACTTTCATTCTCCATCGAAGAGCTTGTAGAAGTGGAGAAAATGAAACATAATTGAGTTAAGTTTACCATATGGTTTATATTCTAGAGCTTTTCCTCGGTTTTTTTGTGTGTTCTGTTTCATAAGCAAAATAATGCATCAAGACTTGATCTTTTAAAAGTATCCAATTTTTCTTACCCACGATCGTTTCGTACCCAAGTTACTCCGCTTAATTGAGTTACAAGATCTTAAAGTGTCACCAAAGATGTTTAACTATCACGTTTCTTGGTAGCTAGTATTTACTTAGCTGAATTCCAAACATCCCTACTCGTATATTGTTAGTACCTGTGTCTGAGAATTTGTCGCTACCATTGACAGCACTCGATGCTTTGCTCTGTGTTTTGTCTAAATTTGTTTTCGTTGTTTGTTCTTGTTCTGTGTGACAAAAGATCACAAAACCCACGAGGGATTTGACACTTCTAAGATTTTGACTTGAACTAAATGATAAATCATAGGCTGAGAAATGATAATAACCAGTGAATTAAATTTCTTAAATAGCTACTTAAGAAAAGAATTGGAGGCTTGATGACACTGAAATTTCAACATGTTAATGAAAATGAAATTCAAAATATGAACATTCGATTCTTGTAAAATCGTGAGAACACCTGATACAGTTTCGACGAAAGAAACAATCACTTGTTTGCTAGCTTTTGTTTGCTCTCAGTCTCCTATTTTCAATGAAGCCACCCGATTAATGGATTTGGAGACCGGTATATTAAAAGCTCTATTAAAGATAGATAATTGTTTAAAATTTTTTTTTACGTGGAGTTTTCGCGACTAAATACCGTGAAGTGAAGCTTTTAAAGATTAGACTCGAGGATTTTTCAGTGAGTCTCAAGACGTGCAAAAAGTTCAAAAGATTGAGCAAGTTTTTGTTACTTTCTTTGAAGAAAGCTATGTCGAGTACTATATCCCTTTTTCCAGTGTCTGACACAGCAGGGGTGAAGACGTTGTACTATCTTAACTTAAGTGAACCTCAACAAACAAGCATGAACAAATCTTAAGGTGTAGATTAATTTTCATGATGTCTTACGAACGCCTTTTGTGAGAAAACTGTAACCGTGCGCGGTACGAATTATGGACTTTATTGAAGACGGCGATTGGTATGTTCTTTTCTGGTTCTAAGAACACGCTTTATCCTCATCTATACCTCTCGGTGGATGAGCTTAGTAACTCCTTACAGTAATGAAATTCAAAACGTTTTTTTTTTTCAGTTGAAATATTTGAAAAGTCGAATGTCGGTAGAAACTCCTCACTGACGGTGAATCGGAAGCTTCTATGCAGGATCGTTTAAGCTTACCAGCATGTTGTGTCGGAGGCGAGATTACAATGTAATGAGGGTGACCAGGGAAGCCTCAACCGCCGGCTCAATCTCAAAGAAGTGTAGTCATTTACTTTCTTTGGAAGGAAATGTTGTGCTTGTTATGTTTCTCTCTCTTTTACCATATGCTACGAAAGGGTTTCGAGCGTTTGTTTCCTTAACTTTTACCAAAATTAACTTTCTTGTTGCCAGGGGGTTAGAATAGAAAATGTTTCGGGTAGAGGGTGTTGTTTCAATGTACCATCAAATTATCTTAACTAATTTTCCAAGCAATA